TCTGTAATCTGTAATGGAATACATTTTAAAAGTAACCTTCCCAACGCTGACAGTTTGGGGGTCTCTAACTCAGAAAGTGTTGATGGCATGAAGGAAAAGCTCAGGTAGATATTTAACATCATTGTACAGTGGAAAACAGCTGGCTCTGAGGCGTTTGGGTGCTGTAGGAAAATAGGAAACAAGCAGTGTTGGTTGGGTTCTGTGTGAAATAATGAAATGTGTTGCATGTCTGATGGACAATCAGTTCTTCATTATAAAATACATGTATTTCATGTCTGTGAGTGTTTGATCACACTGACGGTAATTTTGTTTTTGTACATCAGCAAAACTGTGCAACAATCAGCCTACGACTGCAGAATCTTGTTTTTGAGTCAGACATTAAACATTTATCTTGCTGACGGAGAAACAGATACCTGTGGAAGCCTTCCTGCAGCAGCCGCACACAGATGCTCTGCTTCGGACTGCTTCTGAACCTGATGTGAGAGACGGAGGAGGAGGAGTAAAGATTACAGATGTGAGAGAGGAGGAAGATGATGTTAAGCAGCTCAGTGTGGGCATGTCACAGGAGAAAAAATCAGTATGCAGCCCCTTTCTTTGCAGCAGGGGGCGCTCACACCACTCAGATTTCACGGTCACGATTGCTGAGCAGTACATCTGTAACTCCTTAAACTAACTGCTGACTGGCACCTGTATACCTGAGAGCTGTGCTGTGGTTTTCTTTGTGTTAGTTGTATTATTGTAGGGTCTTTACCTTACAATAAGCGCCTTGAGGCAACTGTTGTTGTGATTTGGCGTTATATAGATAAAAGTGATTTGGACTTACTCCACAAAATATCAAACCACAGTCAGAGATCACAAGGACTACGATGGTGGTTATAAACTTTCACTACTAAGCTGCGCTCTCAGCTGCAGGCTCTGAGCGCGCTCGCATAAAATGATCCCTATGAGTGCCCACTGCTCCAACCAGAGACATTATCAAATATGATAAAATGGTGATTAAAGTGGTGGTGCCTGTGTTAAAATCCACCCAGTGACACTGAGGATGAACTCACAGAGCGATTTCTTTCCTGGTCAGACTCTCTGCTGGTCGAGCCGGGCCCAGTCTGGCTCTGAGGGACTCCTTCGTCTG